TCTAAAAGCATTTAAATACCCCTTCTGGAGTGTACTCTTTTGTATTTTGAAGCACTGACTTACATGTTTTGTGAAGTCTGTTTCATGCAGTTTCAGTATTACTAATTTCATACCTCATAATTTACCTTTCATGAATTAAGAGAGAATCTGGAGGATGATGAACATAATGAATGTTATATATGGTCAAGTCTGGTGAGAATGAAATTGTTGACTTTTGCCTATAGACTTTATTTATCAGGGATGCATACAAATCTGTCGATATAAAGGCCAGGCGAGGGTATAATATTGTATCAATTTGTTTTAGCATGAAAAGTATTTTTTTATCCCATGGGAACAGGTAAATGTGTGTATTACTTTGGGTGAAAAACAGGCTCAATTGCATCATAAAGAATCTTTCATAATTTGTTGCACTTAAACATTTTTCTTTACACAAATCTGTGTTGAACTGATGAATCATTGAGGCAATGGTGTCGTCTGCCTTAACTTGGCCACTCAAAGACAAAAGCAAACCAACCTGGAACTATTGGTGCCTAACCAGGATTTTAAGAGTGGCCCGCCTACAGGCAAAGTGTTTGCCGAATCACTAGTATGGGCAAAGTGTTTGAGGATGTTAATTTCAACTTTCTCATCTCTAGCGAATACATTTGGAAAATTCCCGATAGTATATTGTTGGTTTCTCCCATAGTATGGCTTAAAGAAAGACGCCACTTAAGTGTTATTTGCCTTTACCACATCTCAAACAAATGTTGATGGCATTTTAATGCTGATCTCATTGTGGGGGTTTTCAAGTTTCTTGGGTACTATCGGCTATATACGATTTATATACAAAGTTTAAAGAACCACTATCATTTTCAACTGGTACGAAGTCGTAGGATTATCAGATTTTTTCCATTTATGCATAATAAAAAAAATTTAATTTAACCCCTGATGTTATTTTCAAATGATTAAAAAAAGGGGGGGGGAAGACCTCCCTTAAACCTTTGTTTGCCGTAACACAGTTACAAGAATAACATCTTTGCACTAAACATAAGTAATAATCGGCCTGTCTTTTTTTTTTTTTTGAAAGTCCATTCCATGCACCTGCCAAACCCTGTTTATTAATGAAAGACTGCTTACACAAGACTTCTGATGTCGTCCGAACACTTCCGGAACAGGTGCTTAGCTGACAACTTGTTCGAACCACAACGCTGTAAATGCTTCACCCATGTACTACAAATAATTGCCAACAGAACCTAAACCGCGCATAAATATGCACAATATGCTAATATACAATAATAATAATTTATATTAGAGAAGTTCAGTTTTGAATGAACAATGCTAAAATTTATGAATGCATCTTTAGGGTCACCACTGGATAGAATGAACTTGGTCCAAAGACCCGTTGGTAATAATAGAGCACAATGAAAACTTGTTCACTGCCAAGTAAATAAATGGCAGTTTTTCTCAACTTTACCACATTTTCATCGATTTGTTACTATTTGCATCCTTGAGCGATATTTAGCGTCCTATGATTACTGGTATTCTGCACATTTGACGGCGCTACATAGCCTTCCCGGCTTGGTGCCTTTTTTTGATAATTATTTCATCGGCTGGTCCAGGAAATGGACAGATACAGGGGCAGGATTTTAATGTTTGAAGGATAAATTTGGCTACTAAAAATATATTCAAATTCAGGATCTATATTATAAAATACATTTAAAGCAAAGGCCTATTTGTGTTTTTTATCCATACACATGGTGCCTTCCCAGTTTGGTGCCTTTTGATAATTACTTCCCACCCCCACTTTATTAAAGAAACTAAAGATAATCGGTAGTAGTATTGATTAAGACTCACATCAGTATCCAATTCACATGAATTTGTGATGCATATATATGTTCAGCTGTCAAAAGAAAGTTGGGTCATTGGTTAAATGGCCTCAAACCTAAACATTCACTTTAATTTTAGACAGGATATGAATTACTTTGTCGCCTTTTGATAATTGCTTAAACAGTGCATTCAAGCTTGCCGTTTGTTTTGCATGCATTTTTGCCATGATTATACTCTTAATTTTCCCTAACTACACTATTATCTTCCTAGGAGGCTTCAACTTGCCCAGTGTAAGATGGCGAATAACAAACTATTATACCAGGAAATTTAACTGGAAATAACTAACCACAGGTCAGAGAACTACTTACATTGTAGCAGATAAAAGCCATCTAGGGCTGAAAATATTCTAGATCTGATCTTTACAATCTATAGTGCAGGCTAGTCAAACCGAGGATCGCCCAAGGGCCATATAGGTCACTTTTTAAATGAGGGGCCACAAGATAACCAGTAATATACAATGTGTATACAAGCAAAATTTATTTCAAAGTACTGTACATCAAGCAGAAGTCCTTTGAGTAGCTGGTGTCCATTTCCAAAAATGTGAGGTTTGAAATAAGTTTGAGGTAGAATACACAAAGGGATGAGGTAGCTCAAGCTATTCTCACCCCGTAATGTGAGGTTTGTAAGGCAGGATCTATTTTTAACAAACCCATGTGTCGATTTTACAAGATTGTTCACAGAGATGGTGAATGATTCCCTTCCTTAGGATTCTCTCCTAGAGGGGTCCCTGTCTTGTAAAACCTTGACCCATGTGACTAAAGCTTTTACCCCTTCTTCAGTTCTGAAATACCTTTTCCTTGAACACTTCTTCACACTCCTGCTCCATTTCCGTCTTTACCGATGGGTTAAAGTCTGCCGATGGCGTAGGCTACTCTTATTTTTCCTGACCACACCTCTGTGTTGCCTGCCTACAGAGACTAGCATTTTCATAACGGAACTTTATGCTATTTTAAATGCTGAACTGCTTTCTTGCTGTCAATCTTCCTTTATTGTTGTAGTCGACTCGCAGTGCCGGTGGTGGGAAATGGCTCTGGCGAGGTTACGTATTGGTCATACACGTTAAACTCCTGAGCACTTAATGCAGCGCTGCCCTGCTCCTTATTGTCCCTCTTACAGTCGTGCATATCCTTGATGAATTACAAATGCAGTCGGATTCTACACACAGCAAAGTATCTTGAAGTGTGGATACCTGGTTTCTTTTCATAACTTCCTGAACAGTTTAAAAATTTCAGGAAGTTTGCCACAAGGATTATGGCAATGTTCGGTTCTACCTGTGTGTGAACACACATGAAATCATGAAATGAACACACATGAAATAATTTTCCTTCATGAAATCAACTTACTTATCAGAGAACAAGGCTGAATGATAAACATTTGCCATTTCTGATCAAAGTGGGAACTGCACAGACATAGCAAAAATCGTCGTTAAACAGAGGTGTCAAGCCGCATGACAAAGCACTAAAAATGATTGTACAAAAAAGCATTTATTTATGCCTATTCAATGTATTTGTTGCTGTTGCATAGACATGCATGTTGCATGCAGCTGTTTAAAATTTCGTTTTTTTACTTTTGTTAAACTACTTCATTACTTTGTATTCATGAATGTGGTTAGCCACTAAACCATTTGTATGCACATTGTATACAGTACTTCCAAGTTTAAGTAATAAAAATATCCTACAATAATTTTGATTAAATGACTTTAATTAGTTGTGTGGCCCTCATGACAACACAAATATGATCGATATGGCCCTCGGACCCTCAGTTTGACGTGCCTGCATAGGATACACCTCTTTGGGCATATAGAGGTGGAAAAAAATGCAGAATAGAGCCAGTGAAGAGCAGGGGTGCCATAGCCACAACCGGGGAACACTGTATAAACATCAGAGGTCCAAGTTTGTTTAAATTAACATCCTCCCAGCGAGTATAAGAAATATTGCTGAAACAACCGTGGATATCGAAAAGAGAAAACTAGATAGTTTTCTTCAAGAAGTTCTGGACCAACCGGGCTGTGGTAGATATGTGGGTCTGCGGGTCTCCAAACAGCCTGTTGGACCAAGCGCTCTCTCAAATCAAGCCTGGCCTCGAGCCGGGCTTGGGGAGTAGAACACTCGGAACCCCATAAGCAGGTATATACTCCTGTGAAATAGTGTATGCTTTCTAACACTACTGGAAAGAGTTTTTGTCTTAAGATCCCTACTAATCAAATCTCGGATATTGGGAGTGTATAAATAGCCTAAGCTACTCGATTCTTTTGAGGTGTATCTCAATTGTCTCAATAAACGTACTTAAACTTCAATCTCTGAATTTTTTTTACATTCATACTTTCTTTTTTAATCTCAAGGTTCCAGCTGTTATCTTTTAATTACTGTATTAACATTTAATTCGTTTAGAAAACTACGGATCATTTTTTTGTTATGCAGCTTATAAATTTTTTTATATGCCTTAAGTATATAATTTTTGTTTAAATATTAGAGCCACTGGGAAATATAACATATAATTTCATTTGTTAATTATCAGATAAGTTGTCACGAATACCTTTTTGATCCTTTAGTTTAAAAGTACCTGTAATAGAAAAGCAAGTTTTAAATGAACGAAACCTCGGAAAATGAAGAAACGACGACATTTCATTCCGTCATGGACCGACATGGTCGACATTACTGCCTTGCTGTAAAAGTCGTAATATTTCAGGAAATTAGGAATGACAGAAGAGCAGTTACACAAAGGCCAGAAAGCACGAGTATAAAGATCTATGACATGTTTAGAACAGAGAACTATATGTACGGGGCAGCATAAAACATCCACTAGACAGTGTGACATAGTAATTGCCAGAATTAGGGTGGGATATAGATATCTGGCAAGTGGCTGCAGGTAATGAATCCCCCAATGGTGAACATTCTAATTGTAAACTATGTGAACAAGAGCTGGGACATACTCTCCAACACATATGAAGCTAAAACAAGATTTTTGGACCTGTAAATTTGTAGACCTCATCCTGGAAACATTCTTGTATCAACATGTTAAACAAGCTACGAGGATGAGGGAAGGGGACGTTCCCTCCATGCTAGATTTGATATTTACCTGGAAGGAGGAAGAAATATTTGACATTCAGTACCTTCCTCCCTTGGGTAAAAATG